CATGCATATTTAAGTATCAGCTGAAAAATCGGTGCACATAGTTGATTGTATATTAAAGATTGACAACGAATAATATTGTTACGTTCACTTAAATTGACATCCAACTCATCAAGCGGTACTCGATCATAAATACAACGAGCAATATACTTGTGTTGATTATTGTAGAACACGTCGAAAGGCTGAATTTGATTAGTCGTATGTTTTGGTATTTCGAGGCGACGAAGATTTCTGATGTCATCATACACACCTGTATGATCACCTTGCCCAGACCAGCAATCAGAAATAAGAAGAGTTCGATGAGAAGAAATGGAAGGGAGCAAGACGCAATCACGCCAATACTTCACGAGGCTAGTTGTGAGTTTGCCTGATGAGCTACAAGATACGACAATATTTGGAGCTTTGAAGAAATGATTCTGAAATATACAATTCGCATGGCAATATTTCCTTTCAGTTATACGTATACTGAAAAAATCAATTAGTAATTATAATCAACTTACTTGGACATTTTTACTCAAATAGTCAGATGACTCTTTTAGGCAGAGAAAAAGTGGTCTGACAAGTTTGCCACTAAGACTAATGCACGGTTGCACGATGAACGAATGTGTGATGGCATTTTTGGAACGAACAGATAAGGTAGTATTCTTTTCTCCTTTGAAAGAGAGAGTACGAGTTGAGTGAAGTTCATGTTCAATACCAGATTGATCTGTATTGAGTACATAATCAGGATTATATTTAGGTAGCAGACTTCGCACCATTGACACAAATTCATCAGCAGAGTGCTGAATTTCTTCTTGAGTTGCCACTTGTTTATTCGTTACTATCTAAAGAAAAACATTGTTTCTATCTTTTAGTTCTATAAAGCAAATATCTTCAATTTCTCTCCTAAAACTTCTACACAAAAGTTTTATTATGTATCCTTGAATAGTTGGAATACCCTTTACATGATTATGATGATCGAAAATATTCCGCAAACTGTTTATGGAACCAAAATTATCTCTTTATAGTCAGGGGAGATAAATCATTTACTTTAGTCACTTTTCTTGAACCGATGTTATATTTGATTTTAAAATTGAACAACCATTTTTCAGAAGCAACAAAGTCATTTATCAGTTCTTCCTGAGCTTTTTTCAAAGCCCGCCGACGCAAGTCAAGATCATGAATAAGAAGAAATAATTCCCGAGCATGTTCGAATTTATGGTAAACATAATTATTTAAAATTTCCATTTTCTGCTGTTGTGTTCCTCCTTTTTCAATGTACGAACGAAAACGAGAGAGATAAATAGATTGTTTGACACGTCGAAATGGGTCCGTATCACTTTGCCGACACCACTTTGCCGACAAATTTTTTTGCCGACACGTACTTTTTGCCGATATGTACACTTTGTCGACAACTTGTTTTACAGACAAAATTTGTTAATATTAATAAAAACTGATTAATTTTTTTTAGAAAATTCTTTATTTTCTTGAGCTTTTTAAATTCTTTTAATCAAAATTACAAATACTCAAAGTGAAAGATTATGGGCAGTGCCCCGAAGAAAATCCATAGTTGATCTATTACCACGGNAAATAGTGCATTTTGTACGGCAGAATTTTTTCTATCGAATGATATTATACCATCTTCTGTACAATTTATCTTTCATCAAATATAGGGCTTCAAAGATATTTAAGTACCGAACAAGTAGAAAAATAGGTAAAATCATCGTTAAAATTAGTAATGACAGCTTAATACTATATATTTGATGAAAGACAAATTGTACAGAAGATTGTATAATATCATTCGATAGAAAAAATTCTGCCGTACAAATGCATTATTAATCAGAATTCTAAAGTTCTTGTTTAAATCTTAATTTGCTTAATCATTAATAGACAATACTGAATTTATAAAAAGTGTTTCAAAATATTCTATTATATCTAGTTATTGCGAAACAGAAAATACACAGTTGTGTGTTCAGCTTTAAATGCTCTTTCTAATAACATATTTGAAAGTCAAAACGTACGAGAAAACTTCTATTAATTAACTAATTAATTATTAATATTAAACTATTATAATTAAAAAATAAGTAAAACTCTCTATACCAAAATGTAATCTGTTCAATTCTACATCGAATGATATATTTTAGACAATTGTTTTCTCTTTTCAATTACGATAAAATATTAAAAGTGTTTTAAACTTTTGACTATGAAGAAAAAAATTGTATTTTATTGTACATTTTCAGCTAATGATCAATTTGATAAAAAATAAATGAATCGTGTAGATCTCAATTCTACCTACCTGCATGTATATATATGTAAAGATATTTATTTTTTCTTATGTTTAAAAAAAATAAAAATAAAAAGTGTCTTAAACTTTTATGACCCACTTTGTATTTCAATGAAAACCGAAAAGGACTTCTTTTGAAAGTATCTTTAAACTGTTGTATTTTATTTGACTTATTTGAGAAAATTTTAAATTCTATAGAAAGATTCTATGTTTAAACCGAAACGAATAAGATTATTAAGATCAGAACGCTGAGTTGCACTTGACAGATAGAAAAACTATCATAAGCTATGAGGCCCGAAAAAATTCAATAATATATCATTGACTTTATTGATTCCAACAACGATGCGCTTAATCGTGTGCTTGAACAAAAAAAAGTACATTGATTCAGCAAAAAAATATCTATACAATTCCTTCACTCAACTGTAATCAGTTGTGATACAGCTGTACTGATACCTTAGCTATATATTGTTTCAATTTGATTTCTCTCTGTATTATTTAGGAGACATTCTTCACACTATGATATTTTTATCTTATTATTACAGTCCATAAATTTAATGATATATTATTGAATTTTTCCGGACTCCATAGCGTATGTTAGTTTTTCTATGTATCAAGTGCAATTCAGTGCTTTAAGTCTAATAATCTTATTAATTTGAGTTTACATATAGACTTAATGTTTAGAATTAGAAACTTTCTCAAATATTTTCAATCAAATACAAGAGTTCAATAGTATTTTCAACAAAAGTCTTTTCTAATTTCACTTTGATTTTTATTAAAAGAATTATTCTAGTAGTGTTTTGTTTTAATTTAAAATGAATAAGAATCAATAATGATTTATCTGTACGGAATACTTGATTAGAGCATTGAAAAAACAAAAATTATCTCATGCCTTTAAAATTTTAAGTAAACTAATATCAGTTAAATCTTAGAGAAAACATGTAAGGTCAATATCAATTAGAGTTACAGTAAAACGTAACAATTGAAGATTGCATACACTTGAAAGAAATGAAAAGTTTCTCATAATTATAAGACAAGCATTTTTCGGTTTGTTCAATTTCATCTTCAAACAGCAACAAACAATGAAGTAAGACAAAAGCGTTAATTTGTGTGTCGTTAGTTACATATATGCATAGTATCAATACATTGATATCATTAGCTTTTAGAGTAAAAGCATTTTCTTTGTAGTATATATGCTGAGATATCCAATTATTTTCGAATATTCTGTATGTCTATGTTTATTCGTTATTCATGCTCTTTATTTTATCATTATGAAAAACCAAATAGAAAATATATACAAAAATTATTGTAGAGAAAAAGAAAACACAATGATAGATAAACATTTAGTTATTTTTATTTTGACAGAGCCATTAACATCAGTGTCATTTTATGTCACATATTATTTCTTCTATTTTTTTTCACACTTAAAAAAAACAAAGAATCATTGTGAAATGATTGACACAATTATACATTTTGTGGTGGGATCTTTGTTGCAGTTCCATATGCATTGAGAACACTACCAGTAACACGACTATCTTGCATTGCATTTAAAGAAAAAAATGATGTTGCTGATTTTTCGTTTGACGTTGAAGTACAAAAATTTTTACAAGATAAATAAAAATCCAGACTACAATAATTACAGTGAATAAACAAATATAAGGCCATATAGCATAATGATAGGTAAAGGAACCTTCACTATTAACAGATAAAAGTAATGATGTACTGTTAGTTGTAAAACGTTGTTCCATGATGTTAGATAAGATAGAAAACTTCTTGAAAAAATAATCTCTACTTTACCACCGTTAAGTGAATATTGTTAGCGTCAGTTGTTAAAAGAACGTCATTCATTTCTTTCGTTATCATCCATAATATCAGATGAATACGTGTCTATGCTTCTATCAACAACATGTCATTTATACTAGATAATTTTGTATATCCTCTCTGTTATATATGCTAGTTGATGTCTTCTCCATCTTGTCTTTTTTTTTATCTTGCATTAGTTGTTATATTTCATGTCATAATATTAATTTGTTGAATATATTCATTATGAGATTGAATCAACGATGAAAAATATATTGTTGTATTCTACATTAAAAATAAAACAATATAAGCCAAATGATTGTTGCTTTTTGTTGCACCGGACAACAAAGTTTAAGTTTAAAATCAGTAGAATTTTTCTTTTTGGGAACAATTATTTAATTAAGACAAAGAAAACATTCAGTGAATGTAGAATGAAATGTAGCGCCTATTGTTGATGGTTTACGCTTATCAACTTTTTTAACTTCTAATCCTGTTGATTTCGAACATGCAAAAGTTTGACCAGCAAAAATTTTTTGATAATGTGAAACTAGTTCAAATTCATCTATAAATGATAAATAAACATTAAATAATTCACATAGATATAATCTTTTTCAAAACCAGACCAACTACTGTTCGACGATAAACATTCACCAATTATCATTTCATGAATACATTGAGAAAAAGCCAACAGTAAAAATAAAATATACAATAATGATCAATGATACGATTTGATATTTAAATGATTAGAAACATTTATTGAATACGTATTAATATATTCATTGACTTTTATTTTCAAAGAAAAACATCTAAAAGTAACCCTCGCGTTTATATGTGATATTTACTAGTGATAGAAAAACAAAAACAGTTAGAACAGATTATAATTGTCATGAATTATTGTCACTTTATTTTCATATCTTTTTTCATTTATTTATTCTCTCTTCTTTTATTTTGCACTTATTTTATTATAAATCCAATTAAGATAAGCACTTGTTCGTGTATAAACACCTGGATAATTTCCACGTGCACATTCATGACCAAAACTAACAACACCTGATAGATACCATTTTCCATTGCTATTATACATTAAAGGACCACCACTATCACCTTGACAACTATCTTTACCACCAACATACGGCATACCAGCACCGAGTTGTCGTTGAACATTAAAATAAGCTGGATATGATGCTTTTGCTTGTGCATTTGTCACTCTCATTGTAACTTGTCGAAGACTATTTGGTAATGGACTACCAAAGTATGTTGATCCCCATCCAGCTACAGTTACTGTTGCTGATTCTTGTGGATCAGGTCCTGGTAAACAAACTAAACTCACATAATTATTTAATTGAACTGGTTGAGAAAGACGAATAACAGCGATATCATTAGCAAATGTCCTTGAATTATATTGTTCATGCAAAAATATACGTGATACACCCATGATTTGTGTACGTCCTGTATTTATATTTAATCGTTGATGTAAACCAGCAACTACACGAATAATATTAGCACTTGCACTAGTTAAACAATGTGCAGCTGTAAGCACATGCCGTGTATCAATTAGAGTACCACCGCAAAAATGATCACGTACTCTTAAAGAAACAAGCCATGGCCATGAATTTGGAATAGCTTCAACACCACCAACAATACGTATATTTAATGGTGTTACAGCTTGACGACCACAAGTATTACTAGAAACAGATGGTGTACGAAATGTTGTTGTTGTTGTAGTTTGTCCAACTGTTGTTGATGGACAACAATATCGTACTTTATAATCAGCACATAATTTTTGTTTAAAACCATTAACTTGTTGATTTAAACATAAAAATCCATCTTTTGCAGCTAATCGAAATATATCACCAGTTCGTCCAGGATTTTCATCATTTATTGTACGAGCCTGAAATATAATGTTTGTTGTTTGTTTTAACTATTGATGATAGAAAAAAATAAAAATAGAATATAATTACTTCAATAGCAATCGGTACTGGACACATATATAAACGAAATATTTGTTGAATATGTTTAGTCACTTCGAATTCACCAACTGTTGAACTTGGATTACCTGAATCGAACCAAATTGTCCATTTATTATTACCAGAACAGCTATTTTCCGTAAATGTTGGAGGAGAAAATATGCCTTGACTTAATACTTCAATGGTCAATTGATGTAAAAATAAAACAACAACCAACATTCTATATAGCATGCCTTTGATTCAAAAATTAGGTTTTTTTTTTGTTTCAAATGAAAGGTGTATCTATTAAACAATCTAACGACTAAGCTTCTCATTTAAAGAAAACAAAGCATTTATATACGTAGCTGTGCAATATTGAAGATACGATTACAAAGAAATATTTGATGATTCTATCCAATTCTATTCATTTTAATCGACAAAATAATATTTATGAAAAATGATCCAAGGTTAAACTATATCTTCTGAAAGGACATAACAAAACGACGTAATCAAATGATACTTAAATCAGAAGTTTTGTTGTAGGTGGAGAAGGACTTGATTTATTTTAAATGGAATCAATAATTGAGATTTTCTGATGAAAATTTATTAATTATTCAATGTATAGAATAAAAATTCTTTTTTTCTAATATAAAAGAAACAAAAATTAATTAGAAATAAATTTTTATTTCATAGGCATTTACTTCATGATCATAATGGCAATGCAAATAAACGTAATCGCTTAAATCAAACATCTTTACATTGTTTATTAAAACCGGGTAATGAAGTTCGTCGGAACGAATGTCTTACATTATTATTAAAATGGAAAGATAAACATACAAATGAAACTATTGATATTGATGCTAAAGATTCAGTAATTAATGAAATTTATATATATTTGATTCTGTTGATTAGTTTTATTTTCTTTTTCATTCATTTAGGATGATAATACAGCCTTACATTATGCAGCCAAAAATGGACTTAAGTCATGTGTTGAAGTAAATTTTTTGAATAATAAATTAAAAATTTTAATTTAAAAATTCTTATTTTTATAGAGTCTTTTAAATGCCGGTGCTGCACTTTATGTTGAGAATCGTGAAAAATTAACTCCATGTGAACTTGGTAAGTTTTAATTCAACATATATTTAGTCGAAGTAATGTGTTTTCAAATGCTATTGTGTTATTTTTAGCTGAAAAAAATGGTCATAAAGATTTAGCTATTTATCTTGAATCAAGAATGATATTTAGTGTATGTTTGAAATTTTTAATCAAAGTTCATAATATTTTTTTTTTTGTAATTATAGAATAGCTCAGAAGAATTAGAAATTGATGAATCACCATTAATGATTGATGATGTAAGTGGTTTGAGTATATTTTCAAATATTTATTTTACCACTTAAACTCTACGAAGGTCGATAAATATCGAATAATTTAATCTTAAAGACCTTTTTGAAATCATATTTCTTAATTAGCTATTTGATCTTACATAGATTTCTATAGATTGAGAACTAGCCTTAAAAAAGCAGTATATTTAATCTTGTAAAGTATTCATTAGATTGATAAATGATGGAAGAACAGTTCTTAATACAATAAGTCAATTTCCGATGTATGTTCTTTTTATCTATTACGTATCTACATAAGCAAGATTAATATGCTAAAAGAGGTACATGCCACTTCCACCGTATGAATGAAGAAAAACAAACGAATTTTGAGTGTCTTAAAAATTAGTTGCTTGAAAGAGCAATTCAATTAAATAATAATCTTTCTGCTACGAACTAAACTAAATATACTTACAAATTTTTATTCAACGAACAATTCTAATTAAAATTTAAAATCTTAAATATTTAATTGAAAAAAAAAAAGATATAATTAAAATAATTCTATTATTTCTTTTTTATTCAGACATCATGTGGTCTACGTATTCAAGATTTACAAGAAGCTAAAGATTTACTTCTTGTCGAAACTGCTGATATGTTACAATTACCTTTATTTACAGCTGAAGCTTTACTGCGACATTATGGTATGTTTTTTTCTTCTTTTAAATTTTAAGTAAATAAATTTATCTATTTAGAATGGTCCAAAGAATCACTACTTCAATCATGGATTGATGATCCAATAAGCTGTTGTGAAATATCTGGTGTGAATCCTCCATTAAGTCTTCTTCATGAACGTGGTTTAACAACTATAGATATAAATGAATTTGATACTGTTCATTTATCTAAAGAAGTAATACATTTAAAATGATAAATTATTTAATAGTATGCACTTTCGCTTTTTGTTTAGTGTGGAATTTGTTTAAAAGAATTTGAAAGTGGCGTTGAAAGAATTGTCATATCATGTGATCATCAATTTTGTAAAGATTGTTGGAAACAGTTAGTTCTTTTATTTACTAAAAGATTACATTTTTTTTTTTCAAAAAAAAAAATATTTTCTAGATATTTAACATTTAAAATTCAAGAAGGTTCTGTTCATAGTATATTTTGTCCAGCTGTTGATTGTTTTAAATTCGTACCAAATGAAATAATTGAAAAATGTGTTGATCAAAATATGGCACGTCGTTATTTACAATTTGATATAAAAGCATTTGTAGATTCAAATCCAAATTTTAAATGGTGTCCTCATAGTAATTGCACACTTGCTGTACAATCACCAATATTTGATCGTCTTCAATCATCACATATGAGAGAATTTTCAAAGTCAGTTAATTGTCGAAATGGACATTATTTTTGGTAGGAAAAAAAAAGAAAAACAAGAGACACGAATATATATTTTGATTTGCTTTTTTTTATTGTTTTAGTTGGGACTGTTTACAAGAAGGACATGAACCAGCATCATGTGAAAATTGGAAAGATTGGTTTGAAAAAATTGCAGAAATTAAACCAGAAGAATGTAAATAAAAAATTTTTGAATTAGAAAAAAACATTAAATTTTTTTTTTTAATTTTTATTTATTTAGTAAAAGGAACAGAAGAAGAAGAAGAAATAGCTGCTAACTGTTTATGGCTTGTAACTAATTCGAAAAAATGTCCAAATTGTTCAATATCTATACAAAAAAATGAAGGTTATTTTTGTTTTGTCTTTTATTTTATTTGAAATTCTCACTATAAAAATCTTAAATCGTTATTTAATTTTCAAATACAATCAGTTATAGATAACATAAAAATGAAATAGTCAAATATATTAATGATTCTCATAGATTTTAATAAACCCGTCAAACTTGTCTTTATTACGTATTATCATAGTGTTTGATATTCCTTGTGAAGATATTCACATTACGTTTGAATCAAATATATTTACTTGGGATGCAAATAGCGATGTGTTGGATCAAGCTTTTTTGGTCCCGGTCCCCGTCTAGAGAAAACTATTCCAGAATTTATTCGTATCCTATCTCAAATAATTCTTCAATACTTGTTATTGTTTTATTTATTTAGTCGACAATGAGCACTTTATTGAACCATCTCTCTTGAATTATGTTCTAATTTCTATTATTTATAAGATAATTTGTTTAAAACTATAGAATTATAAACTTGAATTCCAATTCCAGTCCATGTCACACACATTTCTATTGGCTGTTTAAAAAATAATGACCGTGGTCATTTTTGCAATAACTCAAGAAGGGAAAGAGCTAGAGAGCTACGGTTTTCGCTAGTCAAAAGAGGCGACACTAGGACATCTTTTTCTCTAATATTGTATAAGACGTAATCATTTTAAAAACAATCATTTCTGCAAAACATTACAAAAAATGCATGAAAACGGCCTGTCGTTCCGATAAAATTTTGGTTTTGATATATGGCTTGGATAGAGGGACCATTGATCTATAGTTTAAGATATAAATCTGAATAATGATCTTTACGCATTATAACGTTAAGCAAATCAAATTCTTTATTTACTCCCTCGAAAAGCATGAATTTCTCTTCATTTTTAAGCAAATTTTCTTACTTTTTGTCAAAATTTCATATGACGGACAGATAATTTTTGTCCCTTTTTTCGATGTTTTGCAAAAACGTTTAATTTTAAAATGATTTCGTCTTATACAATGTTGGAGAAAAAGATGCCATAATGTCGCCTCTTTCGACTGGCGAAAACCGCAGCTCTCTAGCTCTTTCTCTTCTTGACTTATTGCAAAAATGATCACGGCTATTATTTTTTTTAACAGGCAATAGGTGCAAATCATGACGATTTATATAAGCATTCGATTCTTGCGTGATCTTTTTTATAGCGACATTTAAGATAAAAGTCATTGATTGAGAGAATAAAGTACATTTTAGTGTGAAAGAAAAGATTCTAGGGAAGACAACAAAGTCAACTGATAACCTAGCATATTTCAGTAATAAATTTGATTCAATCATTGAATGAAAATCGAGCGATATGAATCGATTTAGCACAATAAATGAATTCGAAAGCGTTGCTAATATTTTTGAGTAATCTAAATATCAAATACAGATTAGCATTGAATGGACAGAAATTTTTTGTTGTTAATCTACGAATTGAATTGAAAGAATTAATAAGTATTTGGGTAACCATATCGACTCGATTCCATATCATGAATGAAGCAGATTAAAATTATCAAAATAACAAATTACCAATATTACAGTCTTTTTGTTTCTTCTTCTAGGATGTAATCATATAAAATGTGTTAAATGTAAATATGATTTCTGTTGGATATGTTTGGAAGCATGGAAAAAACATTCAAGTACAACAGGTGGTTATTTTCAATGCAATCGTTATGAAACTGTAAATAAAATTGTTGCAAAAGAAAAAGAATTAATAACTGCTGCTGAACAACGTCATTTACGTATGGTTGAATTAAATAAAGTAAAATTTTAATTTTAATATTTTCTTTTAAAATAATAGTCTCATGTTTTTCTTTTTATAGTTTGTTCATTATTATACACGTTTTAAAAATCATGAAAATTCTTATAAACTTGAAGAACCATTATCAAAAAGTGCAAAAGAAAAATGTGAAGTTATATTTGCCAAATCAAGTCAACCAACACAAGTAATAACAACTTCAGCTACAACAAATGATGAAAATAATTTTGAATCACAAACAAAATTTATTGAAGATGCTATTAAAGAATTATTACGTGCAAGACGTGTTTTACGTTGTTCATATGTTTATGGTTATTATTTAGAAAATTCTGGTCATAAAAAAATGATATTTGAATTTATTCAAACAGAATTTGAAGAATGTACGGAAACATTATCACAAATTATAGCACGACCTTATTTACGTACACCTAAACATCGTATTGTACAAGTAACTAAAACTGTTAAACGTAAACGTTTAGAATTTCTTGAAACAATTGCACGTGGTCTTATACCACCAGATACACCACCTAGTTTGAAAAAATTTTCAAGACAACGTTGGAAATATTTACTTAAAGATGATGTTGATGGAGATGATAATGAATTAAAAAAAGCAATTGCAGCTTCGTTGAAAGATTTAGATCCAAAAGTAAAACATCACTTTATTTATTTTAATGAAAAATACATTAGATGTTTTCTTCTTCGTTTGGTTTTTAGAATCCTTGGATTGTAGATCGTAAAGGACGACATACTAATCTAGTTACATTACTTAATGAATGGCCAGAATTAGAAATGGAAATGGATTCAGGTCTCGTTTCTTGTGATGATGGTAAAGAGAACAAAAAAAAAATATTGATTTTAGGAAAAATTCAATGTTCTTTTTTTTTATAGGTGCCTACTGTAACCGTCGTCATTGTTATAATCGTCGTGCACGAAATCCAACAACAACAATTCCTTTTGATTATTGTTCATTAAAATGTTTACGTTTAGATCGTACTGAACAATTAGAAGGCGGTATGCATACATATATATATTAGTGTCACGACTGAGACTATATCTAATACCGAATTGAGGGAGAAACTAGTGTTAAAACTCAGCCTAATTTATCAATCAACGTTGTATTTGGATGCTTATCGATGAGTTGATGGAACGCAATGACGTTTGAATTAATACAATCATCTATGGATAAGTTAAATAAAGATTTAAGCTTCTATAGACAGTTTTTTATGGAATCAGTTCTTGTGTATAACGCCGTCAATAATTTCACGGATTCAAATTTAATTTATCCATTGATGATGGTATCAATTGAAATACCATTTTTCTCTCTCTCTACTTCATCAATGAGTATTCGAATATCAAAGCTATCTACAAACTAAAGTAATTCGAGTTTTAACATCAGTATTTCTCCCAAATCCGATATTGGACTCAATATCACTTTGAACGCTAACATATAAATATTCAAAGTATAATTTTTATTATATCTACAGAGATATTGATTTTGTTTTAGAAGAAAGAGAAATGGAGCAAAGCTTAGTCGGTTTAAATGGTTCACCAGCTATTACTACTCCTTCTACAACAGCTAGTGTATCAACAAATGATTCAGTATATTATCAACAAAGTACTGATGATACTTTATCACCAGTTGTTGTTGTTGTACCATCAAATGATGTTATGGATTTACTTCGAGCTATTGAAATGAGTCGTTTACAAGCTGTACGAGAACATGAACAAAATATTAATCGACCAAATACAAATAGCAATAATAATAATTCAATTTTAAGTACAAATGATAAAATTGATTATTTTAATGATTTACAACAAGCTATTGAATTATCAATTAAAACAAAAAATCAACACAAATCAACAAATGAAGCAACTGGTTTATTTTTCATAATAGTTTTTTAGTCTTTCTTTAAAATTTCTTTCTTTTTTTTTTATAGCATGTATTGAATCTCAACAAGATGATTCTCAATTGATTGATGTAGCAGCAGTAGCAGCAACAATGCCAAGTTTAGATTTATTTCGTAAGTATGAAAAATAAATAAGAGAAAAAAATTACTTATTTATTTATTTCGATTTCTAGTTGAAAATGATGTTGATACACTTAATTCAATAATGATGAACTTACAGCCACCAATTGAAAAAGATGTTTTATATGAAAATTCTAAAATCATTGATTTTGCTCATAAACAAAATGAATTAAAAGAAAATTTACAAAAGCCCGATGAACTTAAAGAATATGAAGATTTTGATTTAAAATGTATTGAAACATCGTTTCATCAACAACAGACCGAACTTAAAAGAAAACTTAGTAATAAGAAAAATAAAGATGCTATTCTGCCATTACAATCAAATGATATCGCAACCGTAGCTGCAGCTGCAACTGTTTCTTTAACAAATAAACCTCATGGTGTATTACAACGCAAACGTTCAAATCGGGATGTTGATATTCGACCTTGTGAACCAAATGAAAGGTAAATATTCTAAAGAATCGATTCAGAGTTGCAAAAAAAAATGAGCTTTGAAAAAAAAAAGATTCGTTTTTGTAGACAAAAATCACAATATTCAATCTCTGATTTATTTAATATCTTTAAAATCAAAGTTTATAGGATATATCATCTTATGACAATTTTACTTTTACTATAAAATTCTTGTTTATTTGGATGATACATTTTTATCCTTTTCTTATCATAGGATGCAATTGAATGATACCTTTGAATATCTTTTGTAGAATGGCTGTTTCCGAACGTACCTTAAGTTTTGATATTGAATCCGACTATCTCTTATCTATGTTTTTCAATTTACAAAATAGAAAGAAGACTCGAAACAGTTTGATAAGAGTTTAAATAAACAAAAAACAGCAATATGATACTTTGTTTTTTAATGATTATTATATAATTTCTTAGATTCGATAATTATCGACCACCGGCTAGTCAAAATGATAATCAACAATATGAACATACTTGGTTTAATGAACCCGTATCAATGTCAACTACTCGTGCTATTGTTGAACGACGTCCAATAACGCCGTCCGATGATGAATCCAGTTTTACTTAAACATAATCGAAAATAAATATCCGGTGTTATTCGTTTGTTTTCTCTTTATGTTTCCAAATGTTTCTTTGTTTTTACAAAAAAAAGAAATCTCTTTTTGTTTTCTTCTCTATGTAAATATGTTTGTTTTACTAGTCATTAATTGTTCAATGAATTTCTTCTACAAACCGATCTTTTTTTTTTCTTTTCTTTTTTTAAATTCTAGTCATCTATCATTTAATCATATTGTTTGTTGCATCTATGTGCCATTTTCCTTTTCAATATGTTTTTTGTGCAATAACAAATTCGATTTTGTTGGTTCTTTTTTAATGTTTCGTCATTATAATAATAATAATAATCAATGGAGTTAAAACAGACATGATGATAGCTAAATATCAGCAGACTTTTACTATCAATATACCGTATATATATACTGTTCGTTTGAGTGAACCAAATGGACTTGATACATATATATATATATATATATAGTGTGCTAATGAACAGAACAAAACAAAAGGAATTAGAATAACTATCACTTCTTGATCGATCTTTAGTCTGATTGTGCATACTTCATCATCGATTATCATCACGACAATAAGGCATCCAGTTGTCGTTGACATTCAAACTACTGTGTCTGCGACCTTTTCCTAGTAACTTTTTTTTTACCTGAAAGACACAGACAGATCAATAGATAGACGAGTAGATAGTATCATATTCTAGAGAAAAATAGTGATGAAGTTTTCTATACAGAATACATTGTCTAATTGTCATCATCATCATCATTATTGATTAGAAGCAAAAAAAAACGACGAAGGAAAAGAAAAGGAGGAGATAGATCATAATTGACCTTTAGGAAAACAATCGTCGTATGCTAATGAACAACTGACTTCGATGAAGTATCTCAGTATCAAACACATTGCTTTCATTCTTTTTTTTCAGTAGCATAAGACTCACTAATATTCTACTAATATCACCAGAAAAGAATAATAAACAAAAGAAGAGAAGCAAAGATAATCATTGTCGACCATGCACATCAATTAAGATTTGCAATAGTTGAGATCGATAGACAGTGATGAGAGGAGCGAGATGATTCGAGTTCAGATAATAGAAAAGAAAACAAAGAACAATTATTATTATTCTTCAAAATCAGATAGACATAAAGAAAAAAAAAAGAAAGTCTTTCTCTCTGATCAATCTTAGTGTGTGGAATAACGTAAGTATTAAGAATAATACACGTCCAAATATCATATGTCATCGATTGATTGTCTCATTTTATCAAGGTCTGACTCGTATTAACAACATTTATGGCTTTGCAAATTGTCATCATTATGAATCATTTTTATCCTATTATGAAAAATAAATGAGCAAAGCCGGAAATAAAAGAACATGTCAATAAATCCGTCTTAACAGAGAGTCTTTGTCTTATTATTATTATTATTATTATTATTGATATTAGTTTTTTACTCTCGCATGAGTATGTGGTTACGTCTCACATATGTACAAAATAGATTAGAACAAGAAAGAGCGAAAGAACGAAGAGAATACAAGAGAGTAAGAAAAGAAAAGGAAATCAACATACACACGTATATATATATATCCGCACACACATATATCGAGTTGAACAAACATCTTTGCCATTACAATTCACAGAGGTGATCTGACTGTTATTCTAATACTCGTGTTTGTACTACATAATTGATTTTTTTGCATACCTTTTTTAATCATTATCGATCGAACTAAAATTAACTCATTGGTAAGTTTTTTCTTTTTACTCATTTAATTATCCTTTTAATCTTTCATTGATTTTTCAATCAATCAAAACGGAAGATTAAGTCTTAACATTTATTCTTCGAAAAATTAGAAAAGTCGGATTAATGATGTAATATAAAAATCTTTTTTTTTTTGCTTTTTCTATATCATGGTCTTATCAAGTAATGCAAAAGTAATATCCTTAAATATACACAATTTGAAGACACATCTATATAAGCTCATGTTAAAATTAACACAAGAGTAGAGATTTCTAAGCATATATATGTTTACTTTCGATTAACACGTCATTGTCATTGGATCTAGAAATTCAATACCTAAATGTAGAATTTCGTGTTTTTTTTTTATGACAACTGGTAAAATATGTTTGCCGATGGGAAAATATCATTATCATAGAATTTTGTTTTTTGATAAAATAAAAAACAAAAAAACAAAACTGTGAATTGTATATCCCGTTTTTCTTTTCTTTTTTCTCTGATCTAAATCAAAACTGTGAATGAACAAGTCAACAATTGGCGGTATTATATCAAATTGAGAAGTGAGAATAATCTCTTCTATACATTATTCATAGAATATGTGTCTGTATGTGTATCTATGTGTGCAATGAACTGAATAGATGATAATCATAAAGATGATTTGAAAGTCATTTTTAATTTATTGAGTTGACATGATATATGAAACTTTGAATTTATTTTTTTTCTGTCGATTGATATGTAAATGAGTAAATGAACTTCTGTAGATATTTATTATTTTTTCCTTGAAATTGAGCCATGTCGTAATGATCAAACGATTCTTTTCAATATGTATAAATATAATATAAAAATTGTTTTACAGTTTGAGTATACATTCAATGAATGTTTGTTTTCATTTCATATTCAAAACGAAAAAGAAAACGAGAAAAAGGCACGTATGTGGATATGAGTTATAAATAAATACATTTTGAATAAGTTGATGAGTGTAACACCTTTTATTCTTCGAACTGAGTGTTATTTTTTTTTTCTGTCGACGATGTGGACAATTGTAGACATGCTATTAACAGTTTTTTTCTTTTTCTTATAATATATTTGTATATGATGAGAATAGACTCTAAAAAACAAGAAAAGAACTGTTTTTAGATTGACAGTTGTTTGTCTATTGTTGATTGACCATGTGTAACTGTTTGATACATAAAAAGAATAAATCTATCATCATATCGATGGAAACAATATACATATAAACTTACATAATCCATTCTAACACGGTTTGTTTCAGTAGAAGAGAAAAAAAAATCAAAAGTGCCCGATCGGTTTGTATGTCGACACGATTAGTGTCGAGTGCTGACCTTGTCCAAATACACGATTGTTTGTGATATCGTGCCGCTCAATAATCAGTTGACGATCGGCACCTGTCTTCATATGATCGATGAATATCGGATTAGAAAGAACAGCTCATTGATATTATATGGTAATCTTCATTGGTTTGTATTTGTAGAATAATATGTCATTATAAAATACTACTCATAACAATGAAGGTGATAATAATTCTTTTGTATTCATTGTTTTGTTCATGTCAATTGATCGATGGGATGATTAAACATGATCTTTGGTGGTAAAAAAAGAAAAGAAATCAATAGATAAAATATAGAGATAAATATTTTGTTTTTGTTTTAGGAATATTGGTCTTGAACGTCGAAATAATAATATTTTATCTTCATATACATTTATTAATTCTGATCATCAATATGAAATCGATGATGATCCATCATTATATTGTCAATCGACATTAAAAAGTTTAACTGTTGGTCAAAAACAAATATGTTTATTACATGCTGATCATATGCCTGTTGTTATTCAAGGTAGTAGAATTCTTTAGTTTTTATTTATTTATTAGAAGAAAATGGAATTATATTTATTTTGTATAGGTGCAAGTAAAGGTATTGAGGAATGTCAACATCAATTTCAAGATCGTCATTGGAATTGTTCAACAGTACGAGATGGAACTGTTTTTGGGCCTATACTTTATCATGGTAAATTATTTCGTTTTCGTTTTTTGTTTTGCTCAATAAATAAAATTCGATTACAATAATTTTTATTATTTTTTTAATTTCTAGCTAATCGAGAAACAGCATTTGCTCATGCAATGCTCTCGGCAGGTGTTACATATGCTGTTAGTCGAGCTTGTAAACAGGGTTTATTAAAATCATGTACATGTAGTCGAACAGCAAGACCGAAAAATTTACCACGTGATTGGACATGGGGAGGGTAAATGAAATGAATATTTTCAACAAAAAAAGTTTTATTTATTTTTTGACTTTTGTAAATAGTTGTGGTGATAATGTTGATTATGGTTATCGATTTGGTCGAGATTTTGTTGATACACCTGAAAAAGAAATTAATCCGAATATAATTGATTCTTCTGTTTTACTTATAAATACAAATCAAACAAAATATCAAGAACGAAAACGAAAATCTCTACGACGTAATAGAATACGACGTCAAATGAATATGCATAATAATGAAGTTGGACGAAGAGTAAATAGAAAAATAAAAAAACAATTATTAATTCATTATTTAATTATTTTAAGGTTGTTTATCGATTAACACGTGTTGTTTGTAAATGTCATGGCGTAAGTGGTTCTTGCAGGTAAAGATTTAAATTACAAAAAATTTTTTTTTCTTTTAACATAAAAATGAATACTTTAGTCTTCGAACATGTTATCAACAATTACCAACATTTCGTGAAATTGGTGCATTTTTAAAAGAAAAATATGATAGTGCTGTTGAAGTACGATATCAACGTCGTTTAGGACAATTACGTTCACGTGATCGTCGTTTTGCTGGACCAACTAAAGATGATTTAATATATTTTGAAGATTCAAATTTTTGTGAATATAATCGACGTATTGGATCACTGGGTACGAAAGGTCGTCAATGTAATCGAACAAGTCATGGTCCTGATGGTTGTGGAACAATGTGTTGTGGACGAGGTTATAATACTATACGAAAACATATGCAAGAAAAGTGCAATTGTAAATTTATATGGTGTTGTTCTGTACAATGTCAGACGTGTCAGAAGCTTGTTGAAATTCATATATGCAAATAGAATATCTTTGCTTTTTAGTTTATTAACAAAAACAAAGAGTGCCTTGGTTTTTGTCTTTTGTCATATAGATCTTTTTTTTGTTATTATTATTTTATAAAAATAATGAAATATAAACATAAAAGAAAAAAAAAATGTGGCTTATGATTATCTTCGGTTTTTGGTCTTAATTAGCTTGTCGAAGAAATATAGATAAACCTTTTGTAATTAGTCTTGCATCAATTACATTCATGGATAGAAGAAATGGCCAAGGTTGTTTAACATGATGATGGCGTAATAGTGATAATAGAGGATACTTCTTTAGATTGATATGTTCATGCATTTGATTGACAATGTCTAATGTTGTTATGCGAGCAAATATTTGAAGATAGACAGAAAAACATCGAAAAAAATTTTCGCATACACATTGAATAAAATAAAGTTCGATTGATGATGCACGAAAATAAGATTTTATTGTAGAATGAAAAAAAAATGAACGAAATGGCCACCAAATTAAACGAGGTAACAGAGTGATACCTGCAATAAACAAAACAAAAGAATATTGCAATTTTTCAATCGTTAATATTGATTTGATTTTAGACAAAACTAATGTAAATTTATGGTTACATAAGAAATAAACGATTGTTTGAAAATTCGATTATGTATGATTGAGTCGGAACGAATGAACTTGATTTGTCATTTTCATTCTAAATCTTATCTTTTCGTAATAAACAGATTGTAACGAGATTGAACAAGGTTAAAGAAACATAAATATCTTATAGATGATTTCTATCGATCTTGTGACTGTCCATTTTATAGACTATAACGTATTGTTTGATATGTCAGGAAGAATCAAATGAATGATTGTTGAGACCTTAAACATAATCTATATGTAGTATGATAAAACTGGTGAACTGTTCAAAGTTAAATTATGATATCAAAAGTAAAAGAATAATAATTAATTATTTAAAATAGCTAACTATTATCTGACTTTTGATTATAAAATTTATACAATTCTCTCTGAAAATACAAAAGAAAAACCTATTTCTCTATCATAATGTATTTTCGTGAAACATATTTAAATATTTGCTATGCTGTAGAACGGCCAAAAGGAAGTAACATATGGGCCATAATAAATTGCACTAAATGTTTTTACTTTTTTTTTTCGTTCATTTTCTTTTCATGAAAAATATTCATTTATATATTAAAAAATACAGAATTTCAAACTTGAAAAAACTATCCATTTGACTTTTCAGATAAGTTTTCCTTATTGGCGTCTAATTGCAAAAGAGTCATATCTATTCAATCATTCAACTGCAATTGTAACAAAACAAAAAAAATTATGAAAATTTTAAAAAATTGGTTTAGGTGAAATAAAAATGATGTCACAAAATTTCCGTAAAATTCTGCACGTTTGGCTGCATGTTTCAGAATTTTAGAGAAAATATTTGAAGGAAATAGTTTCGAAGAAAAAATTTGAAAGCAACGAAAAAGAGCTTTTCTAATGAACTTAGATCATAATTCGTTTTTTTATTCAAAATAACCTAAGTTTTCTTCATTTTTCAATTTAACAGCTACACTATTTTGTTTTGAATTTAATTCTACATTCGATAACATGATTTTGGACGTTTCATAGAGGAAATCTAGATTTTGACAGCATGACTTTTCCAAATGCATCCCAAAAATGACGTAAGATATTATTTCCGAGTCTTTGTCTTCTGAGAAACAACACTAGGGGCCTTGAACATGTGATGGAAGGATAGAGCACAATATTCTCTGTCAATTGGTGTTAAACACTTTACTTTTAGCGTTTGCCTTGATGAGCAAAAGCTTGCACTAATGGATAAATGTCAGCCGAAAAAAGAAAATCTCAGTTGAATGATTGAGTAGATATGAATCTTTCCAATTAAACGTCAACAAGGAAAACCTATTTGAAAAACAAAGTAAATAGGTTTTTAGAGTTTGAAGATCTGTATCTTTTAATATATAAATGAATATGTTTCATGAACGGAAAATGATCGAAAAAAAGTAAAAAATGTTTAATGCAATTTATTGTGGCCCACCCGTTTTATCTAAATGAAAAAAAAAATATCGAAAATTTCAGCTAACAAGACATTCTTTATTTTTTTGTATAATACTAACATTGTATCATAGATCACACGCAAGTCAAGAAATAAAAAAAAGAAAGAAGAAAATAATGTAGTATCATTTTTTCCGTTTAGCAATTGTAAATGACAAACCATCTAAATATTTCACTATGTTTATAAGACTATCATAACATTGTTCACCAAGATTATCTATACCAAGATAAATAGCAACTGTTTTGGATTGTTTTTACTCCTGTGCCTAAACCTGAGGGTTGGTTGTGGGCGTAGCGTTTTGATGAGAAGAAAGAAACCTACACCCGCACTAGAATACTGCACAGGTACCCGACCCTTGGGTTGTATTTCTCTGACACATTGCTGATGGTTTACTAGAAACAGTAATCAACTATGCGATCAAAGACATCGCTATTAAACAACAGTATCAAAAATGCATCTTTTTTTTTTGAAATTTTTTATGAATCGTATTGTTGAAAATGAGGATTGTGTCTCCCACAAATCGTTACTTTTCACATGCCTACCCAGATATGGGCACTCGATCCACGAATTGCATTACTCAAAGCGACAGCCCACTAGCTTTTTCAATATTTTTGCAGTTTCGATATTTCCTTTTTTATATTTTTTGTAGCGTCTTTTCTCTGCTCTATATTTATCCACTCGATATTTTTTCTTTTGCTTAGTCTTTCTACGGCTAACTAAATATTTGATAAACAAAACAGTATACTATTCGATTATCGTCTTTGCATATACAAAGACTTTAAAAAAATACTGTTTACTTTTCTATTATTAATAGTTTCGCATATAACGCACGAAGCAAAATTAAACTAATTCATATTGAGAACTAGAAATATTAATGTAACTTTATTCAAAAGATAGAAATATAATATTACTAGATGCAAAAGAGAATGCAGTTTTAGCGTTTGATTTAAAATAGTTGTTTTTTTTTTTCAAGTCTTGTGTTCGTAACAATCGATTTCTATCTTACTTGATAAAGTCTCAAACATTCTCTTGATAATATTAAAATTGATTTATGAATTACATATCTATAATTTTTAATAAAGATGATTCAATAATTAACTACTATATCTAAACTTATCTACTACAATTAAATGAAATGAAACGAAAACATAGACCTTTTCTTTGTATTATCACTTACCTAGTTCATAAATCAATCGTGATATAATACCACTAAAAAAAACTTTCCATCCTTCATTATAATAAATTAATTTAATATTTTTTTGAAAATTCCACGAACTATAAATTAAATCTTGGTTAAGATGAAAATGTTCATAAGAAATAAATAATCTTTGCATTAGAATTTTTACAGACATAACATGAAAAATATGTGAAATAATAACACCAATAAATTTCCAATATAAAGCATGAATAATCCATCGTATATAAGTTGATTCTATTAATTGTTTAGCACTATAACGAATATCATTTGAAGATTTCTCTTTTGTTTTAAATGATATTCGATAAACATGAACAAGTGATGAAAAATAAGTCAGTAAAAAATAAGAAATATACATTGTTAAAAATGATTGAATAAATGGTGATAAATCATGTTCGTACATATACATTTTAGTATATTTTATTAAATTTGGATAGAACATTTTCTTAGATAAATTCTTATTTGTTTTAAATAAAAAATTAAATAATCGTTGAAAAATATTCTCAGATTTAATTAATGTAGAAATATGTATATAAGATTTCGAATTTTCTATTATCTTGTATAAATAGGATTCATATGAATTAGTTCGAAGATATTCACCATGATATGGTTCATGACCAATATGAATAAAATGTCGACAAACATTAAATGGATGAAACAAAATAGGTATTAGAAATAAATTGGTAAATACTATTAAACTTAATAAAAGCATTTTTTTGTATATATAAAAATTTAAAGAACAAAAAAAGAACAATAACAAAATGGTACACAAAATATTCTTGCGCTAATATTTATTTCAAATTCATTTAATAATAATTTATATTTTAAATAACAGCTATTATTATTGATTTCATAAAATAGATAACTATATTATGGTAAACAAGAGAGATGTTATATTAGAATAAGTATTAGCATTTATTAGTATTAATGCTAATGCTTTTAAGCATTAGTATTGAAATTAACCTTGATGTTTTGTTGTTATTTATATTAAAATTACTTACTGCCAACCGGTTAGCATTAAATTAGAAATTATTTTTAATTCGAATATATAGATTTCCGACGACTACGTCTCGGGTACTCTAAGTTCAGAAGTTTCTAACACCGAGCATTTTAGTTTGTTTTTGAAATAAAACGTACTTCGGTTCGGTGTATAGAAAAAAGAACTTGTGTTCTGTTATCGGAAGCTTTCGAAGATGAATTTCCAGAGGCATAGACTTAGAGAGGCATCTGTATTAGGATTAAAAATAATGCTAGTTTAATACTAACAGCTTGATATTAATTAATTCTAATGCAAACACTATCAAAACATTAAGATTAGTTTTAATACTAATGATTAAAGCATTAGCATTAGTCTAAAACTAATACTTATTTGACATATGTAATAAATAATAACGAATATATCTCATGTCTACTTATTGAGATAATCTTGTTTCTATATTAGAATGTTTACACAGTCTAATTTTCTAATTTGGCCCGTATGAAATGTTTATGTGACATTGTTCGAGATACGAAAAGTCTGTTACTGTCAATATTCCTAGTTAAAGTCTAATTGATTGCAAGTCCAAGAGCAGCTTAAGCGTAGTAAGGGTAAATATTTCATTGATCTATCTTCGGTCGTTTATATGTCATCAACAGAATTAGAAAAAAAAACCACAAGCGGGTAATATGTCCATCATGTCATCAACACTAATAAAGCTTATTATGTAAAAGCACATAAAAACTATTTACCAGTGCAGCCTGACATTAAA